GATGGGAATTTGCCCCCTGCCCCTGGGAGCTGCCGGCTGCCCAGGCAGGCTCCACCACAGAAGCCTGGGCAGGGACTATGTTCCCCTGCCATGGAAACAGGGAGCTCTAAGCCCCCTGCTCCCAAGCCATGATTGGGGAGTGGGGGCTGGGAGATGCTTATTTTCCCAGCACCAGCTCCATGATCAAGGGGCAGGTGCTGGGAGATAAGGGTGTCTAAGCCTGAGCTCTGTGGTCAGTGGGCTCAGGCTGGGAGATAAGTGGCCCCATGGCGCAGAGCCAGTGCTGGGAGCTCCCTGCTAATAAGCTCCCCAGCCCCTGCCCTGTATACCTGGGTGGGGAAAATGTACCTCTACCCCAGCAGTCAGTAGGAGGCTTCCAACTCCTGCTCCCCAATCGTGGAATGGGGGTTGGGAGCTCCCTGCATGGGGACAGTTCCCCACCCACCCTGGAGCTGTTTGGGACCTTCCCCTGACTGGGACAGTTCCTAGCCATCCCCAGGCTATGCAGGGAAGCATATGCAGCCTGGAGGTGGCTAGGGATTGTCCTGTTTCAGGCAGTCCCTGGACAGCTCTGGGCTCCACAAGCAGACTTCTTCATGCAGCCTGGGGCTACCCAGCAACTGTCCCAGTTAGGGGCAGGTCCCAGCCCCATGCCCTGATTGGGTGAGCGAGGCATGGGGCTTGGAAAGAGAAGCAGGGGTGGAGTAGGTCCCAGCCTCCTGCTCTGATTTGGTAGTGGGCCAGCTAGCAGTGAGCTAGCTGCCCCAATCACAGATCACAGATTGGGGCAGGGGGCTGGGACCTGCCCCTCCCCTGAAGCTCTTTCCAAGCCCCATGCCCCTGATTGGGAAGCTAGGGTCTGAAGCTCCCCCCAGTAGTGTCAGGGGCCCATTGCAGGGTTGCAGGGAACTGGGTGGAAATCTTCTCCCTAATCCCTGCATGTGTAGATGCTGGCCCAAAAACTCTTACTCCAGAGTAGCTTACATCAGAGTAATTTTGGGCTTCTTTAAATGCATGTGGAGACGCACGCACTACTTCTCTGAGCATCTCACCCTCATAGTTCTCAAAAAGCAGCTCCAATGCATTTATCTTACTCCAAAAGAGAAGAAAAACTAAGACAAAAAGCTGGAGCAGGCACTGAGGGTTTGATACTGGTTATATAGTGCTACTTGTTAAATGCACCTGTGTGTGGTACACACAATTATTTCACCATTCCGATGTGAAGTGTTCCCTGTAAATATCTGAAAATCTGTCATTATCCTCATTCAAATGATCCTGTTCCCTGAGTTTTACAAAAAAAAACCCTTAGGTTAAGCAGCTGTTTCACTATGACCTCTACTTATCCTTACCAAATAGAGAAAACAGTTTGACAGAAATTAAGTATTTACCCATTTTAAACATGAGGGATAAAAACAGGAAACTTAAGTGACTTGCCCAAGATAACAGAATAAAGAATGAACTGGAAACCAGAAAACAGCCTATATTTGGGTGCCTTTTCACCTTAAGTTATCCTTTCTCTCTGCAGCTTAGATTTCAAGTTTATAAATGCAAGCTGAAAAAAAAAGTTTAGATTATTTTTAGTGCTCATACTCGGACAGGCTAAGGAGTCATGGGGCTGAAAGGAAATCTTGTGACAGAGACTTCTTGTTCAAAATGTGCTCTATATCAGGTAGTCTTTGCTCACTCTCTAGTAACTGGCTTCTGCAAGAAATTTTTTAACCTAATATTTCTAGCTGACAGACTTGAGCATCAGTTCACGCAGCAAAGGAAGGATCATACTTCCAGTACAACTGTTCAAAGTTCAAATTCTGTGCCATATGGGCTGGGGAGAAGGTGGGAAATGAAGAAAACTTCTGGCATTTTAGTTTTCCGTTTTTTGTTTTTTTTTATCTGTCAACTGTTAAAAGTATTGACAGATCTTGAATCTCCTTCTCCTTTTACAGACCTGAGGGTTTGTGGTGATATAAAATCCAGACACTCCAGCTTTCTCCAGGGTGCTCTGCTGGTCAACTACTTTCTGGTCTAGTTCCAAGACTATTTTCTCATCCATCATTCGCTGTTCATCTCGAATTCGCTGCTCCACAGTCTAAGAGGGAAAATTTTGATATTATTTTTTCTCCAATTATCTTCTCATTGGATTTTCTTTAACTCAAAAATAAAGACACAAATTAATTTAATCCCTGAGACTGTAAGAAGGACCAGGAAATAATCTGTATTCCTTAAGAATCTCTTAGTCCCTGCATTGTTGAAGGGTCTAAAAATAAGCTAGGGAGAGTTACGACAAGTTTAGAAAATCATCATTACCAAGGATCCTGGTTTTTTCTCTGTTAAAAAAAATCCAAAATCCTTTGATAAAAATCCCCAAATACCTGTATTTTGGCATTTTTGTTTTTTTTTTATCATGGAAAATCAGAGCTCCTCTTGCCCTCTTCACTCAACAGAATCTGGGTCCAGCTGCAGCTGTCCCTCTGTTGTTTTGTGGTGCAGAGCAGCTCTGATATGCCACCACCCTTCACTCCCGACCTGCAGCTCCCCATCCCTCCCAGTGCCCCTCACTCCCAACCAGCAAACCCCTGGCCCTGCTGGTGCCCCTCATTCCTAACCCAGTCCCCTATGCCCCCCAGCCCTGCTGATGCCTCCCACTCTCAACCCACTGCCCCCTGCCACCCAGTGTGAGGGGAAGGCCCTAGCCCTAGTGTATGGGGAAGGGGATGGTGTGTGGGGCAGGGTGTGTGTGTGGGGGGCAGGCGGGTGTGGGCATAGGTGCCCCCTGCCCAGTTGACAGCAGCAGAGGGGCACAACTCCATGCTGCCACCATGGTAGTGCCTTAACTTGGCAGCCATGGGACTGCGGCCCCTCTGAGGGCACCTGAAGCTAGGAGACCACAATCTCGCAGCTGCAGGGTACCCTACACACCCCTAGGGATTGGGGGAACACAACAGTGCCCCATGGCTGCTAGGACCTAGCGTCCACGCCTCCCAAGCACTACTGGGGCCGAGAGTCCCAAAGCTGATGGGACTCTCCATCTCAGTTGTGTAAGAGGCATAGCTGGGGCCAGGAGTCCTGTCAGCTGTAGGACTCAGGGTCCTGGCAGCCACAGGGCACTGCTGCAATCTCCCAGCCCCAGGTGGCATAGAGTGTCCCCGCAGCTGGGAGACTGCAGTGGCTATGATCTCCCAGCTCCAAGGTGCATTGTTCGCCTCAGCGACTGGTCTCCCAGCCACAGGGGCACTACCTACATGCGCAAATTAAAGGTGGAGAGAAACCAGCTATAAAGTAATTACACATTTTCCTAAAATAACTTTATAGCTAGTTGGATCTTTTTAAGGCATCATAGTTAATTTGTATGTGTAGCCAGTCTAAATTTATTGTGCAATTAACCTGACAATTGTGTATACTGTGTAGAGGGGGCCATATGGTCGGAAATATTACCCAGCAAGATGTTGCCAAAACAATGCTATCTAGGAAATGGTAACAAGGACCTTTACGTCTCCTAATATTTAGCAAAATCTACTTCAGTTCTTGGGAGGAAGAGATGCATTATCCCCATTTCTCAGATAAGGAAGTAAAGGAACAGATGACAGATGTGTGGTTTGGAGCAGAGGTTCTCAAACTGTGGTATGGGTACCCGTGGGAGTATACAAGACATCTCTGGCAGGGTATGCTGGAGGAATTGTGTAATGGCAGATTTAATTTTCATTATAAAAATAATAATTGGCATTTAAATATAAAACATATGCTGGTAGGGGTACGCAGGCAGCTGGTAAATCTAGAAGGGGGTATGCAATAAGAAAAAGTTTGGGAACTGCTGGTGTACAGGTTTCAGCTTCCGACTGTGCTAGGACTAGAACTAGTTCTGCCACCAATGTGTTGAGTGTGAGGGTGAGGGAAAAAAACCATAACTTCTGCCTCTTTCC